GATACTAAATCAACATGCGAGATTTTTAAGAAGTTGTGAACTATATGTTAATCACATGATTTAAAAAGGGCATGCCTATGGGCATGAGGGGCATGCCTTAGCTCAGGGGCATGCCCACATGGGCATGCCCAATTTTTTTCCCGTGCCCTGAACCCTATTCCTAACCCTAAATTTGTGTTTTTACGCACTTTGTTTATTTACAAAATTAAATTTCCTTTTTTGGGTTGTATTACCGGCACAAATGAGTAAATCCGGGTTAACACTACTTGTATCTTCATATACATTTAGCCGTTTGCCTCTTTCGTAACCGCAAATCACTTAATCCTCTTAAAGCGCAACCGCAATAAACCATATATTTACTTAGCATAAATCGGCATTTGTTATTAAACCCTAATACGTATATCCGTCGCTATAGTAAACCGTTATACCGAACTTATAAGAGGTAGTTTCGGGTGTAACAATACCATTTTACGTATTCCATTTTATTCCATTTTTATGTTAGTGGATGTATTCATCGTCCTTAAGGTTATGCTAGATGATATATTAAATAAAACGAGCAAAAATGACAGAATATCAATTAAAATAAAGCTCATGCTAGTGAAAATCGTGGTTCCTTAATGAAAGCGACATTATATACTTACGAATATAAGAAACCAAAAAGAATGAATAAATAAAATACGTTTGAATTATGCGAAATAATACTGTATTATATTGTCACTGTACATATTTTTTTTTTTTTGTGATTATATTACGCTAACTCTATTAATAATTCCTTTCCTGAATACAATGGATGCAAAATCTTGTCAATATAATTACTAAATGTTGATTGGGGTGTACCATAAAAATGAAATCCATTTGCAGAGATCGTGGCATCTAACATGGGAATAAGATAACTAACTAAAGGGGTTTTGTCTTCTGCATTTCTAGCGCTTTTTATTTCAGCTAATTCCTGATCAAAATCATCCAAGACAAATACACAAGGAAAAGTATTAAAAAATTTGAATAGTAACGGATTGGTACGTGGGGATTCTGCATCTGTGGCAATATAAATAATAGTGTTAACACCTTTATCTGTCGGATGAAGTGGTTTCCGACATATTACTTCTTTCAGAGTGTTTATATTAAAATTTTCTTGGTATGAGCTGTCATCAGTTTCGATACTACGAGAATTATGTTGACCTAAATCTACAGTATCATCGACTAAGATATCACTATCATGTGTGCCACCTTCGAGAGCGTCTACTTCTTGCGGAGAAAGATTCGTAAATGTATCAATGATTTGATGATAGATTTTATCAATGTTTGGTCTGGCAAATTTCATGAACAAACCATCGGATACACGTATATGAAGTCCTATAAAGTTTTTAGCGCCACCTAATTTGTTGATAATGCGATTCGCAGCACGTTGAACGAGAGAATTGGTTGGGACAAGATGTTTTCGAATAAAGACAGCATGCTCTAAGTTGGTTGGCAATTCAGGCACCACGCGAAATGCTCCAAATAAAGAACCAAAATGAATCACTTTTGTATCGATCGCAAGCAAATCGGAAATTTCCATTTTTCTTAAATATTTAGAGTAAGGAATTGTGCTATTAGGAGTATCATAGATACGATAGTCAAGTCGTGCGGCGTCTTTTATGAAATAAATATCATTGTTTTTATTTATATTGAGATTTTTTTCAAGCCATTCGTAGGAATGTTCTGGTCGATCCATTATCCTATGCCATTTCCTGATCGGATCCATATCAACCAAGAAATCCCAAGATACAATAGTATAGGAAAAATATTCAAGACATTCTACTGGTAAAGGATAATTTTCTGATATATCTTTACAATGTTCTATACCAGTTTTTGTGTTCACGAATAAACGTCTGTACATTGTGTCGAATGATAGCCATGGGAGTGGTCGGCCAAGCACCACAGGAGATAGTAATAAAGTACGGTTGAGAAGCTTCGCAAGTAACAATGCATTCTCTAAAGCTATACGTTGATTATGATATCCACTATGAGAAAAATACGCGAGGAACTTTTCTTCAGGGCTAACGGTATATTTTTGATGTCTATGCGCTTCGATATCTTGGAAGTGCTTAAGTATATTATGTGTATTTATTAAATTATTAGCATTTATGGGTAATGTATTTGAAGCTCTGTATAAGAAAACTGCA